TTTTTACCTTTTAAGGTAAAAAAACCTTCAGCTTTTAAAGCCACTTTAATTAAGCAAATCTCATCTTCTGCTACAACAATATCTAGTGGTCTGCTTTTCAGTTTTTCTAGTAGACTACCGCTATCATTTTAAGGTTTTCAGACAATTGTTAGTTTTTTAGGTAAAATCATAGCATAGAAAATGTGAGTCAAAGACAAGTGAGTAATGCCTGGTAAACATGCAGATGTTTATTTGTGGTGTGTCTGATTTAAATTAAAAATACTAAAAACCCTCCAACAGTTTTCTTTATAAAAAAAATTAAAGATGTTAACAGAACTTTCAGCATATCTTTTGTACATGCTTATCTGCTCTTTTTCCTTGCACAGGTAAAAAGTAATGTTGAGAATGAGCTACTGTTAACTGATTACAGTAATATACACTGATCCCAGTTTAATTTAGTTAATAAGCCAAGATGTAATACCAATAATTAAGCTCTACAGGGCTAAACTAACATGTTGAAGAATCTGTTAAAACATGGGTCATAAAGTATACTGATCAATGGTGCATTATGAAACCTGCTCTGTCTGCAAGTGTATATGAAACCAACAGAAAAATACACTGTATGCACAATCATTAGGCCAGTGTGAGTATTTTGACCAAATCATCATTTTTATGCATATTGTCCAACTCTAAGCTGTGTAAACTTGAATTCTTATTGGATTTAAGCATATCAGGTGATGTGTGTTTGTGTAATGAGGGAGGGTGTGGCCTAAGGAGATCAACACCCTATATCAAGGTGTGCATATTTATTAGGCAGCTTCTTTTCCTCAGGCAAAATGGGCCAAAAAAGAGATTTAATTGAAAAGTCAAAAATCGTAAAAAAAGTCTTTCAGAGGGATGCAGCACTATTGAAATTGCTAAGATGTTGGGACGTGATCACAGAACCATCAAATGTTTTGTTGCAAATAGTCAACAAGGTCACAAGAAACGCATTGAGAAAAAAAAGACTCAAATTAACTGCCAAAGATTTGAGATGAATCAAATGTGAAGCTACCAGGAACCCCTTATCCTCCAGTGTTTTTGTTTGTTCAGTGGTCAGAGAAATGGTCAAGTTAAGGAAGGCTGAAACACGACCACCACTGAAGTTGAAATGTCAAGACTGAGCCAAGAAATATCTGAAGACAGATTTTTCAAAGGTTTTATGTACTGATGAGATGAGTGTGACTCTTGACTGACTAGATGGATGGGCATATGGCTGGATCAGTACTGGGCATGGAGCTCCACTTCAACTCAGACACCAGCAAGGCGGAGGTTGGGTACTGGTATTGGCTGGTAATATTAAAGATGAGCTAATTGGACCTTTTCGGGTTGAAGATGGACTCAAAATCAATTCCCAAACCTACTGTTGGTTTTTAGAAGACACTTTCTTCAAGCAGTGGCACACGAAGAAGTCTGCATCTTTCAAGAAGACCATGATATTTATGCAGGACAATGCTCCATCGCGTGCATCAAAGTACTCCACTGCATGGCTAGACAGTAAAGGCCTTAAAGATGAAAGAATAATGAAATGGCCTCCTTCCTCACCTGACCTAAACCCCATTGAGAACTTGTGGGCCCTTCTTAAATGGGAGATTTATGATGAAAGAAAACCGCACACCTCTCTGAACAGTGTCTGGGAGTCTGTGGTTGCTGCTGCACTAAAAGTTGATCATCAACAGATGAAGAAACTGACAGACTCTCCATGAATGGAAGACTTATGACTGTGATTGAAAAGAAGGGTGACTATATTGGTTGATTTTTAAAAAAACATTTTTTTTTTTTATGTCAGAAATGTTTATTTGTAAATTTCGCGTTGTTTGTTTATTATTCTCACTTTAACAGATGAAAATAAACATGTGAGATGAGAAAATGTTGCTTTGTCATTGAGTTGCATAATACTTCTGCACATTAATAGTTACCCAATAATTGTGTACACATAGATATTCTGTTAAGAAACTTTCCTATATATTCAGGTTTGAGGTTTATTAACATTTTGGATTGACCAAGAGCACTGTAGTTGTTCAATAATGAAATTAATCCTCAAAAATACAACTTGCCTAATAATTGTGCACAGTAGTTTTTTCGCAATTGTTTGTATAATGGCAGGTTAGCAGTTCTATCACTAACAACTGCTTACTACCAATTGGGCAACTATGTGGAAAATGAGGTTTAATGTTGATAAATGTAAAATTATGGACTTGGGGCTAAAAACACGCATGCAACATGCATTCTAGGAGGAGAACAGCTGGAGGAATCAATGGTTGAGAAGGATCTGGGTGTTCTGGTAGATCATAAGCTTAATAATAGCATAGCATACAATGACAAGCTGTGGTTTCCAAAGCGAGCAAAATCCTTTCTTGTATTAGGGAGAGGTATAGGCTCCTGAGAGTCCATCATTAGTAAGACCTCATCTGGAATATGGAGTGTAGTTTTGAGTACCAGTTCACAAAAATGATATAGGGGTACTGGAGAAATTGCAGAGAAGGGCAACCAAACTAATAAGAGCCATGGAGGAGCCTCTTATTAGTTTGTGATTAAGGGGGGGGGGATGATCAACATGTATGAATACATAAGTGGACCGTATATTGAACTAGGTGTTGAGTTATTCACCTTAAAGTCCTCACAGAGGACAAGGAGGCACTCTTTACATCTGGAGGAAAAGAGATTCAACCTTCAAGAACAGAAAGCAGAAAACAGAAAGCCTTCTTCACAGTATGGCTCAGTTCACACTAGCGTTGAAAGCAGGCGTTTGAGGGGCGTTTTTAACGCTCCTCAAACGCTTATGAAAATTGTACACATGGCAGCACACAGTGCTATTCACTCTAAAGCATTCTTGTATGGTCGTGTCAACATTGACACCTCATGTCCAGTCAGGAGGAGTTGAAGCTTTTCAACGCCTCCCATTCACGTCTACACTCCGCAAATGCCTGGCAGGCGTTTGCGAGGCGTTAATACCATTAAGTTAATTATAGGCATTTGTGGTATGGTTTTAACGCTTATAAAACGCTTGTCTAATGATATAGGGGCGTTTGGGAAGTAGTCAAGTATAAACAAGCCCTAAGAGTGGTGAAAATGTGGAATAGACTCCCTCAAGAGCTGGTTCTGGCCAGCTCAGTTTGTTTTAATGAAAAAAAAAAAAGTTCTGGATTCTTTCTTAAATGCATAAAATATAACTGGTTACTGATATTTATAGGTAAAGTTGATCCAAGGATTATCTGATTGCCTCTCGGGGGATCAGAAAGGATTTTTTTTTTCCTCTGCTGGAGCCAATTGGCTCATGATTTATTGTGTTTGTTTTTTTTGCCTTCCTCTGGATTTACTGTGGGTATAGGAATGTGTATATATGATTGTGTATGACTTTTTTTTTCTGTTGGTTGAACTGCATGTATGCACTTAACATAAAAAATATAACTGATGCTAGGTCCGTCTCAAATGTTTATGCGCATTGAATCTACTTTGACTTTTGATGCTTCCAATCTTTACATTTGCTCCATCCTATAGTATAAATATTATTGCCTTGATACGTTCTTGGAGCAGTTCACCGTCTGCAAAAATTATTGTTTACATACGCTGACAGTTCAAATATGTGATGGTTTCTATTCTATTTGCAGACTCCTGCCCTAAATATTCTCTGGGAGAAATGCTGTTGTGATGATGTGGTTCTGAGGACAGCATGTTGTGAAGCTTTGTTAACACTGGTAGAGCAGAAACATGCAGACTTCACCTATGTCTTAAATGGAATTCTGAACCTATTCCCTTCCGCAAAGTAAGATTGAAATATGCATCACCTGTGGTAGAATGTTATTTTGTGTTGTTTCCCACAAGCATTACCTTTTTCCAAACAGCAACCTCATGTTTTTGTCTAGTACATCTGTGATTTTTTTTAAAGTGTGGCTTAAGTATGGTTTGGATCTATTCAGACTAACAAATATACAATTGTTTCTGTTTTCATGGTGTTTGTATGGTATGTGTGTGTTTGCCATTGTTTCTTTACATTCTGCTCTTTGGCTTTCTCTCACAATCCAGACACGTAATTTTTGGTTGATTTGCCACAGATGATTAGTCCATACAGGTGACAGCTTCCTGCAATGCTGACATGTGGGTTCGGATTCTAGTTTGAACACGTCTGAGTTCATCATTATGTATTGATTCAAATGAAGACATTTTGTCCTTAGACCTTGTCGCCCTGATATGATTTATTATGTTACAATTGGGGAGTGTCTAGAATTACATTTATTTTATAATATAATATTATAATATTAATATAAATTCTTTAAAAAAAATCACAAAGCCAGTGTTTTTTTTTTCTTTTGATCCAATAACGCTAATAAAATAAATTTTTATGTTTCATTAGTCTTGTCTATTTGGGGAAAACTGCATGTAGACAAAGATATTTTATATATATATTATTTATTTATTTTTTACAGAAATGTCCAGGGATTGGTAAAATGTATTTGGCAACTGCTTCACAATGAAGCGAAGAAAACAGAGAAAAGCAAGGAGCACATACACAAAAACATTTACAAAATCTGGTAAGAATTTATTAGTTCACTGATTCATGGATCGATAGACAAGAGATCTTAGTAGGAGATCTGTAATTAATAAAATGTAATTATATTTAGGGTCTCTTTATAAAGGCTGACCAAAATAAAATACTGTATTTTTCGCTCCATAAGATACACCTGACCATAAGACGTGCCTAGGTTTTAGAGGAGAAAAACAAGAAAAAAAAATATTCTGAACCAATGGACTGCAGACATAGTACAAGAAATGACCAGAGACTGTGGACATAGTACAGGGGATGACCAGAGACTGTGGACATACTACAGGAGATGACCAGAGACTGCGGACATAGTACAGGAGATGACCAGAGACTGCGGACATAGTACAGGAGATGACCAGAGACTGTGGACATAGTACAGGGGATGACCAGAGACTGCGGACATACTACAGGAGATGACTAGAGACTGCGGACACGGTACAGGAGATGACCAGAGACTGTGGACACGGTACAGGAGATGACCAGAGACTGCGGACATACTACAGGAGATGTAAAAAAGACAAAACCTCAGCGCCCAGGACTCTCCTATTAGACACACAATTCCCCGTGAGATGCTGCTGTACACAATTGCAAAAACCAAAAAAACTTATATCAATAAAAACCAGCGCAAACCCACATAATCAATTGCATTACTCAACTTATTAAACCAACTTAAAAACCGTGACAAAAAAACTTTTGTGCTAATAAGGATTAAATTATAAAATATATATAAATAAATATAAAAAATTATTAAAATTCATATGTCCAGTGACACAAAAATCCCAAAAAAATTTATTAATTGACAGTCCCGTGACAAAATAAATCAAATTATAAAAAATTTTTCATTGGATTCTTCCGTGCCTTTGATCCCTTCACCATCCACCAGTGCAAAAACCAACATTAACCGCACTCACCAGATATTAGTGAGTCACACGCCTTTCAGGAATATTAAGGGCTCCTGGACCCCCTTTACTTTTTATGAGACCTCCAAATGCTGCTTCCTCTTATGTCTGGGTACCTCTTCTGCTTACTCCTCTCACCGAATCCCCCAAGGAAAATCAGGAAGAAGAAAAGACCATAGCGTGATACCGTAGTGGTTTCTCCTCTAAATAATCTCTCCAGACCACTCACATTTTAGCGGGATGTAACCCGCATTTTATTTGAAACAACAAAGATTTTCCTTCAAAATGATCCACTTTCCAAGTACAGCGACTTTGCATGAAGACCCCACAGCCTAGTATACAGCAGGATGGCAGACCTCAGATGCAAACTCATCCACTATGCTAAGATGGCCCCTTGGAACGCACCGCTCAGCGTGCGTTCCACTCACCGGAAATGACGTCAGACGCCGGAACAGGCAACCGGAAGTGCGTCAACGCGTTTCGCCCCACCCACAGGGCGTTATCAAGCTTGTTTAATAAGTTGAGTAATGCAATTGATTATGTGGGTTTGCGCTGGTTTTTATTGATATACTACAGGAGAGGACCAGAGACTGCGGACATACTACAGGAGATGACCAGAGACTGCGGACATAGTACAGGAGATGACCAGAGACTGCGGACATAGTACAGGAGATGACCAGAGACTGCAGACATAGTACAGGACATGACCAGAGACTGTAGACATAGTACAGGACATGACCAGAGACTGGGGACATAGTACAGGAGATGGTCAGAGACTGCGGACATAGTACAGGAGATAGTCAGAGACTGCGGACATAGATGACCAGAGACTGTGGACACAGTACAGGAGATGACCAGAGACTGCGGACACAGTACAGGGGATGACCAGAGACTGCGGACACAGTACAGGGGATGACCAGAGACTGCGGACACAGTACAGGAGATGACCAGAGACTGCGGACACAGTACAGGAGATGACCAGAGACTGCGGACACAGTACTGGAGATGACCAGAGACTGCGGACACAATACAGGAGATGACCAGAGACTGCGGACACAGTACAGGAGATGACTAGAGACTGCGGAGTTGTCCTCCCTTTAGTGCGAGTACCCGGCTGTGCCAGGTGCCCACTGCGCGTGCACGAGAAGCGCTGCGCTTTGTGAATGGCCCGGCGTCTTCTGGGACCTGTCGTGTCCATTAATTAATTCATTTTTCAACAATGTGTTAGGAAAACATGTAGAGAAAATTAAGCAAAAAAAAGGAAGGCTATGAACTAAACTTTCAAACATCCAATAGCATTGCACTTTTTTTTTTTTTTTTTTTTTTCCTTTTTAAACTGAACCTTTTTTTGAGTGTTTTCCCTCTTTGTCCTATCATCTAGGATCATGTTATTCTGCGCCTTCCCTGGCTTCTAGCCTGAAAAGCATAGTAGAACAGCTAGGTGTCAATTTGGGACTGACTAGCTAGGCTTGATCACTGTTATAAGCAATAGTTTTAACTATCATGATTGGCTTTCCATTCATGACAGCCTGCTTACTGTTGACATGCTGTGATTAGCGATTAGCTACAGCTAATCACATGGTACAGTGTGCCTGGTACCATGTGACAGCTGTGGGTCAATCACAGCATCACAAGAAAAAGTGAACTGTTCATTAATGAAGACCATTCATAACAGTTTGTTTACATAATTTCATGTGATCGCTATGATTGGTCATAGTGTTCACTTTATACCCCCACCGCTCACAGCGGCCCGGTACCCATCACTGGACAAGTATTACTGCACTCTGCAAAATCATTTGCTTCAGAATGTAGTAAATAAGGAAAAGTTCTACTGACTTTCATCCTCCAATCATGTGCAAGCAAAAATGCTGTTTCTTCCTTGCATGTGATTGGGTATTCTTTGCAAAGTGAAGCTTCACCTTCTTTACTAAGCTCAGGAGCAACTGCCCTCACAGAGCGTACAGACTGTTTGCCTTTAGTAAATCAACCCCACTATCATCAAGTTGCATGTTGTAGTCCATGTACATGAAATATTTGAAATTATCATTTACTAATGCTGCACATGCTATAACAAATAAATATCTCTTTTGTCATTAATAGCCCTGTAGTTCTCTTCACCCTATGACACCTTTAGGAGTGTCAGAGGTGTTCAGTAGTAGCCTGTACTGTCCCTGAAGTCATCAAGGTGACTGGCAACTGCCTGTGAAGATCCTAGTTCCTGAAACTGTGTGCAAGAGAATTCCTGCACATTAGAGCTTTTCGTGGTTCTTGTAAATTAACATAGGCCTACCTCCCTTGGGGAGAATAATGATTTCAGCATTTTGCAGTGGGCATAGTAAATACTATAAAGTGGACCTAAACTCATAAAGTTAGGACTTGCTGTGTTAAAGGCTAAATTCACCATTTACAAAAAAAAACAAAAAAATAATAAATGCACATATTTTGCAGGTAAAATGTGCATTTATTATTATTATATTTTTTACACTGCAGCCTGTAAGGCACTGCACCTGCAATCCAAAGATTACGGGTGAAATGCCAGGCTCCTGCAGACACCTAGTCACCATCTGCCTGTACCTCCCATATGGGCAGGCAGTTATTGAATGACAGGAAATATCATTGAACTACAAGAGCCCTCACAGTTCATTGAGAACTACAAGCCGTCAACTGCGGGGGCTGACGGTACTTGTAGTTCGTTCATTGACTCTGGATGAATGAGAAGGTTGTGTGGGTGAAGCCTCTCACAACCACACTGTTTTTTTAAATTCTGACAACAGGTGCGGGGAGAAGATTCCCTTGCCTGCTGTCACAGGGAGGGGGAAAAGGGGAAGCAGGAACTGGAACATTTTACAGGTTCCACTCTAAATACGATGTCGCTACTGTGCTGCTCACTGTTCTATTTGCTGGAGAGAAGGCTGTATCTGAGGATCAGCAGTGCATGAATCTTCCAATTTCTCCTTTATTTTTTTTGTGGCTCTGTGAGTTCTCCCTATCTCCTGCTGCTTCTTAAAGTTGTAGTAAAGTCACATGCACTGTTTAGAAGATATTTACTTTAGCAGTGGCCGGTGACGTCACCGCTGCATGCACCCTGGGCTCTGAATGAACTGTGCCATTCATTCAGAACTCTTTGCCACAGCGTGACATCATCGTGGCTAAGTAAATTATACAGCTGAAGCCTGCGAAGCCAGAAAGAAGACTGGGTGAAGATGGGAGCGCCAGGACCTGTGACAGCTTATCACTGGAGAACTTTGTTTATTGATATGTCTGTCGTAATGTGCTAGTATGCAATATGTAACAGCACGTTATGACTTAAACCGCCCAGGGGCTCAATTTTTTTTTCTGCAGTTTACTACCACTTTTAATCAATTCCCCACCAGCCATCGGAGGTAAGCTCTGATATGAGAACGCAAAACCTACCCCTTCCAGAATGGCGGCCAACCCCTAGGTAGGATTAACTATGGAGAACAAGCCATGAATAGTCAGTAATGGGAAACATCAGCTGCAGGGAGCCTACAGGCAATGCAGGTAACTAGTCCTTTGTCCTCTGCTAGCCTTTTTTGGCCACAGCTTCCCACAGTTCAGGTTCTCTTTAGTAGCCTATATAGACAGGATTCTTACAAATGGCTTTCTCACTGCCCTGCTTTATCTTATGTTGTGGCACAATATTTGGAAATTAGCAGACCTAAGATATCTAAACAAATAGAAAAATGCAGAGCAACAATATATATACAAAATATAGTGCTAAACAATAAGTACGTGCAAAAACAAACAACTATGCTTGTGAAAATCAGTGTGTGCTATACCAGACGTCTAATCAATACATACATATAGGACTCTATAAACTGCGCATAACCAGTGCTCTAAATTAATTGTGCACACAAATAAGGAATAATTGTCCTTAATAGTGAACGGTCCCTTTTAAATCTTGAATATTAGCACATGGACTTGTGTGATATATATCCCATAAATCGTGATCCACATACACCAACTATAAGTGTCATCGGAATATAGTGTCAAAAAATGGTGAACCGTCCCTTTAAATCCACTGTGTTTCAAATAGACCAGTGTAACACACTACTGTATACATGTATACAGTGCTCCTGTGTCACCCCTTAGTGCTCATCCACTTCCAACACTCAATTGCGCTCACCTCCAGATTTGACTCGTACTGACAGGTCAAAATATGCTTTCCCCTTTAACCCGGGAGGGTATACTGGTACATAGATCTTCACCACCATTAGCCAGCACTTTTAAACATCTCCAGATTGTTCCACATCCATGTGAAAAAAAATGCTCCATATAGTGTAATATTGCCACTCAAAATAGCCTTTATTTAAATCAATCTAGTAAAACTCACACTGTCCTCCTGTGACACTACAGGGTTAAAAACTCACTATACAGTGTTTGCTGTAAGAAGTGTGCAGAAATCCCTTATCTAAAATGGCAGTACGTGCACTTCCGGTTACGGCCTGACATCATTGACGCACCCTACGCGTTACGTCATATCATGTGACTTCATCAGGAGTCCCTTATCCAAAATGGCACGTGCACTGCCGCTTTACGGCCTGATGTCATAGGCACACCCTACGCGTTACGTCATATCATGTGACTTCGTCAGGAGTTCTCCTGATGAAGTCACATGATATGACATAATGCGTAGGGTACGCCGATGCCATCAGGACGTAAACCGGAAGTGCACGTATCGCCATTTTGGATAAGGGATTTCTGCACACTTCTTACAGCAAACACTGTATAGTGAGTTTTAACCCTGTGGTGTCCCAGGAGGACACATTTTAATGTGGGTTTTACTAGATTGATTTAAATAAAGGCTGTTTTGAGTGGCAATATTTACACTATATGGAGCATTTTTTTCACATGGATGTGGAGCAATCTGGAGATGTTTAAAAGTGCTGGATAACGGTGGTGAAGATCTATGTACCAGTATACCCTCCCGGGTTAAAGGGGAAAGCATAGTTTAACCTGTCATTATGGGTTAAACCTGGAGGTGAGCGCAATTGAGTGTTGAAAGTGGATGACCACTAAGGGGTGACACAGGAGCACTGTACACGTGTATACAGTAGTGTGTTACACTGGTCTATTTGAAGCAGAGCAGATTTAAAGGGACGGTTCACCATCTTTTGAGACTATATTCCGATAACACTTATAGTTGGTATATGTGGATCACTATTTATGGGATAGACAGTTGTGTTCAAAATAATAGCAGTGTGTTGAAAAAAGTGAATAAAGCTCAAAATCCTTCTAATAGCTTTTATTTCCATACACACAAATGCATTGGGAACACTACACATTCTATTCCAAATCAAAACATGAAGAAAAATATATCAAATTTGTGTTGTTCCTCTAAAAAAAATTGAAGAAAAGTGAATATTAGACTGTTCAAAAAAATAGCAGTGTTTGTATTCTTCTTTACAAACTCAAACATTCACTATATAAACTGAAAAATGTTTGAAGATTTTGCTTTCCTTTGAATCACTTAAATAATATTTAGTTGTATAAGCACTGTTTCTGAGAACTGCTGTACATCTGTGTTGCATGGAGTCAACCAACTTCTGGCACCTGTGAACAGGTATTCCAGCCCAGGATGATTGGACTACATTCCACAGTTCTTCTCTATTTCTTGGTTTTGCCTCAGAAACTGTATTTTTGATGTCACCCCACAAATTTTCTATTGGATTAAGATCCGGGGATTGGGCTGGCCACTCCATAACGTCAATCTTGTGGGTCTGGAACCAAGATGTTGCACGTTTACTGGTGTGTTTGGGGTCGTTGTCTTGTTGGAACACCCATTTCAAGGGCATTTCCTCTTCAGCATAAGGCAGCATGACCTCTTCAAGTATTCTGATTTATTCAAACTGATCCATGATCCCTGGTATGCGATAAATAGGCCCAATACCATAGTATGAGAAACATCCCCATATCATGATGCTTGCGCAACCATGCTTTACTGTCTTCACAGTGTACTGTGGCTTGAATTCAGTGTTTGGGGGTTGTCTGACAAACTGTCTCCGGCCACTAGACCCAAAAAGAACAATCTTACTTTCATCAGTCCACAAGATGTTGCGCCATT